ACATGAATCTCAGAGGACAGGGGTTCAATACATATTTGTCCCCACTTCAGATATTACTCCTAAGTTCCAAGCTGAGAGTGTACTTTTGACTACCTAGGATTTCCATTACTTCCCTTCCTTGGATTTCATAATTTTCTGAAAGAAAAATCACAGAACTGAAAAAAAAACTTAGTTACTATTACTAGTTTGTTATAAAGGATACAATTCAGGACCAACCAATAGAAGAGCTGCATGGTCAGAATATGGAGAAGTGAAGTGGGCCATACTCCCACGTTCTTTCTGGACAGACCACCCTTCTGGAACCTTGATGGACAGACCCATTGCACAAGCATGGGGTAAAGCAGTGGCCACTGCAGTGATTAACTCAACCCAGTTCCTCGCTGTTGTAGTTTGCTTCTCTGTTGCTACAATGAAACACTGAGCAGAAAGCAAGCCGGGGATAAAGGGCTTACTCCATCTCACTTATTTACTTATTCCTGGTACACCATCAGGAGCAGGGCAGGAACCTGGAGCAGAAACTAAAGCAGTGGGGAGCAGAAAGGAAATGGGATAGGGGGTTGGTGGGTAGCAGGGGAGGATGGGAGGGAGAAGGGAACTGGGATTGTCATGTAAAACAATCTTGTTTCTAATTCAAATAAAAAAAAAAATCTGAAAAAAAAAAAAAAAAGAAAAAGAAAGTAGAGCAGTGACCTCGGAGATTGTTTACCACCCTGCTTCTAAAGTTCACATTTCTTTTGTTTGTTTATTTATTTTGAGACACGGTGCCATTATGTAGCCTTGGGAGCCTTAAATTCAGGAAGATCATCTATCTGCCTCTGCCTTTCCAGTGCTGGGACTCAAAGGTGTGCACCACCAGGCTGGGCTACCCTTTTTTAGACATCCCAGGTCCAACTGACTAGAAATGGTGCCACCCACAGTGGGCGAGGCCCTCCTATATCAATTAACAATAAGGAAAATGCCCCATAGTCATGCCAGAAGCCAGTCTGGCAGAAGCAATCCCTCTTCCCAGGTGACTTATGTCAAGTTTACAGCTGACACTAACTGTGACACCTTCTGACCCTCTCCTGAAGGCAAACTTAAACGTCTGCCATCTAGCCAAGCTAAGGTTCTCTGGTGACCCCATCCATCCTGACGTCTTTAGGGACCAAAGCCACCAGTCACCTCGTTAGTACATCTAGAAGTCCCACATCTTTTAGGATCTATGTGCCCAGAAACTGGGGACAAGAAACAAATACATTTTTCTTTTTAATCACAACTTTGTACAAAACCAATAAAATAGACACTGAAGAAATTCCCAAAGAAAACCTTTATCATCTTTCAGAATAATTTTCTGCACTAAGAAAAATATCCAGCAGAAGAGGTTATACTACTTAGGGATCGGGATCGTTCCAGGGTGGTTAAAATCTACAAGTGCAAATCAAGTGTTCATGGAGCGGCTGATGTTTCCAGAGTCACAGGCATCCACAGCTAGGATCTAGTGAGAATAAGGCCCAAGATACTAACAGAAATTCAGAAGACAACACTATTTGCTGGGGAGAGGGATTTCAACAGTTTTAAAATACGGGTCAAATAAAATTATCAGAAAGACTTTAATAAAAAGCCTTAACTGTAACTGGTTATGACTTTAATGGGCGGCAGAAGATAATCTTTATACCATCTAATGTGAATGCAGAGTAGTAGATAGAACACTGCTCAGCAACACAATTCTGAGCGGAAGAATATTCTTTCCTAGAGCAAATAGATTTCCAGAAGGAAACTGTTATAGTCCTGCTCAAAACACTGTGACTCAAATGATGGGCTCACAGATATTACAGTTAAATTCCAGACACAATCCCCTATCAAAAGAAAGTGTCTCCCAGGCCTGGAGAGACGGCTCAGTGACTGAGAGCACTGGCTACTCTTCCAGAGGACCCAGGCTGACCTCCCAGCACCACATGGCAGCTCACAACTATCTACAACTCCAGTTTCAGGGGAACAAAAACTTCTCATGGCAAAACACTAATACACACAAAATCAAAAAAATAATAGTAAAAGAAGAAAGCATCTCCCCACATCACCACACAAACACAACCACAAGAGGTTCACACTACTTCCCAATGTCTCAAGCATTGTAGGGAGGTTCATAGAACACGGGTTAGCACTTTACTGAATGGAAGGGGAAACCTGAGGAACTTCTCTAGAACCATCATGTTAATTTTCGATTACCACCAATGTCCTTCTTATAAAAGAAAACTAATCCTAACTTGCTGAATTCTAAATAGCACATGCATTCACACAGCTTGTTTTACATTCACTTATCCCATCAGCTGAAAAGAAACACAATCAAGATATAATCCTCTACTTTCCATTTAAACACTTAAAAGAAGTCCAAGAAAAAGTAATCTTACCGTTCTAGAATCTGAGAAAGGATTATATTCATCAAGTCCTGGTGGCACATTTCTTGTCACCTGTGTAACAGATGGGTCCTAGAATAAAATTTGAAGAAAATATAAGCTATCTATTAAGACAGTTTTAATATTTACAGGATATTTGCTTTATCTGAACCTTTGGTCACTCAGCGAACCAGAGCAAACAAAGTACTGTCAAATGTAATCAACATTTCAACAAAGGTAATATTTAAATCCACAGCCCTCACACCCTCAGAGAAAAACAAATGACACTTGGGTTAGAAACAAGACAGCTGCTAGTCTGATTATAATGACTGAAGCAGGTCCCTCCTACTGCTGTGTGGTCCTGGATGCTTAAATTGCTCAGATTGAATCAACATCTTTAAGACCCCTCAACCCTTTATGACACAGGGTCTCACTCTATATCCCAGGCTGGCTTTGAACTCTTGATGGTCCTATTGACTCGGCCTCCTGAATGCTGGCCATTATATTCATAAACCACCATACCTGGCTTCATGGTCTCATTTTTATTTTTTGTAATGTTTTATTATTCTGAGAATTTCATAAATGAGTAATTATCTATATCACTCCTACCCCTTCCTCCAAGTTTTCTCATGTTCTACCTCCCAAATACATGGTCTCTTCTTTATTGTCACACATATGTGTACATGTTTATGTTTCTGTACACACACACACACACACACACACACACACACACACACACCCTACTGAGTTCATGTGCTCGTGTGTATCCAAGACTGACCACCTAAGATCAGACAACCTCTGTGGCAGCTCATCCCTAAAGGAAACTGATTCTCCCTCTCTCAGCAGCCACTGACCACCTATAGCTTTTTCTTCCTCCTATGGGTGGGATGATTCCCTTTTTAAAACTGCATCTGCAAGTTTTCCTACTTTCAGATTTGAATACATTAGAAGTCAATGTCCTACACAGCCAACATCTAGGACATTGGCTATGGTGTCCTTCTCACTTTACTCTCTGTCACTACTGCTACTACTGGTCTTTGGGATATTTTTCTACATGGCCCTAGACTCCCTTTCCAAATACACTAACACACTATCCTAGCCTTTCAAGTCTTTGAATATTAGGCTTTCCTGTAACACTTATTAAATCACAAATTTCTATTTGATTTCCTTCAATTATGAATGTCAAACACAAATATAATGAACATGTGAAATAAAATCAACTACATATCTGATGAGAAATGCAGATCACAAATTAAAAAATGTTTCCACTTCCAACTGTCAATGTATATAACAATCAAATAAAACAGACTACTCTGTGGGGATATCTTGTTTGTGCTCTAAATAAAAGCTTGCCTGAAATCACAGGGCGGAATTAGTCATTACTTAACCATACAGACAGGAAGTGAGATGGCTGGGCAGAGAGAGAAGGTGATAAGGAGGGAAGAGAGAGGAGCTCGGTCTCTTTTGGGATGGAAAGCTGAATAGGTAAGGTGGCTGTGGTTTTTCTCCTTCATCTCTCTTGTCTCTCAGCATTTTCCCCTATATTCTGGGCTTTTATGATTAAGCCCTATTAGAACTTGTATTACACCACTCCACTCCAAACCCAGACTGATTCAGCAATTCTGGAGTTGGGCCTGAAAAATCTATATTTTGTTTGTTTTGTTTCGAGACAGGGTTTCTCTGTGTATCTCTGGCTGTCCTGCAACTAGTTCTATAGACTAGGCTGGCCTCAAATTCAGAGATCTGCCTACCTCTGCTTCCCAAGTGCTGGGAATAAAGGTGTGCACTCAGCAGTTAAGAGCATAGACTACTCTTCCAGAGGACCTGGGTTCAATTCCCAGCACCCACATGACAGCTCACAACTGTCTGTAACTCCAGTTCCAAGGATCTGATACTCTCACAGATAGACATACATGCAGGCAAAACACCAATGCACATAAAATAAAAATTATTTTTAAAAAGAGAAAAGGGAAATCCGTGTTTCTAACAAAGTCTCATGTGATTCAGCTCCTACAGGGATCTACTGCCCCTTCATGTACAACTCCAGTCCATTTTCCTCAACACAAAGTCAGCTTTTGAAAATGCAAAGTTGACTGGTAATCCTTTGCTCTATGTCTAAAAATCTAAAATGAGTGAGTACATACCATGTTTGAAAAAAAAAAAGAGAGAGAGACAGAAAATGCAAAGTTGATCTTGTGGTTTCCTTCCTCTACCCCTACCCATTTCAGATTTTTAAAAGCTCCCTAGCAATTTTAAGACTAGATTCAGAGTCCTCAGATAAAATATATAAGGCTTCTAACCATGGTGGCCCAGCCCTTGGCAATTTCTGCAGCCTTGCCAACTCTCACAGTCACCCTCACCTTGGCATATCCTCTTCTCTTAGAAGAGAACCTGCACAGTGGGCAGGAAGGCTTAGCAAGGCCCTGCAGAGCCTGAGCCTGACTCTTGCTCACCCTCAGCCAGCAAACAGCAAGGACAAAAGAAAACCTGTGAAGCCTTTAGGCCTGCTCAACAGCTGGGGAGGGAAAGCAGGGCTGTTTCCTCCCATGCCATGTTTACCTACAAAAATGTGAGAAGGGAATACCAAGGGGGATGCCACCAGAAAAAAGTAAGAAAATGAGAACATATGCATCTTAATTGAAACTGTCAACTTCTGTTGCTGAACTTTTGCCTAAAACCCAGAGATTACAGCTATCATCTCTGTACCCACCCACACCACCACCCACAAAGCCAGCACCCTCCAAGTCCTTACACATTACTCCCCTTTGCCTTGCTTCTTCTAGCTGGATCCTCTTCCCGAGGGTCAGCCTATCATTGTCCTCCTCATTAAATAGGCAGTCTAAGTATTATCTCATATAGCAGTCTTCCTTCCTCACATCACTGCATCCCAAGCCTAGCACTCCAGCAGCACTGATTCTACAGACTAGTGCTGATTCTCATGAGGGTTGTTTCCCGAAACCTTGACCCGAAATATGAAGATGACCTATTTTAATTAAGACCTGGGTTTTACCATCCATGGTGGACCAGCCTTTGGTCCCAGTATTGTGAAGCCAAAGGCAGGCAGATCTCTATGAGTACAAGACCAGCCTGGTCTACATGAATTCCAGGTTAGTGGGATTAAATAACAATACCCTGCTTAAAAAAAACAAAAACAAAAACAAAAAACCACTGGGTCTTTTGGTCAGCCAGGTGTGGTGGCACATGACAATAATTCAAAATCAAGACAAGAAAAATCCAGAGTTCAAGACTAGCCTGGGTTAAACAGGAACACCCTGTAAGGTAATGAAGGAAAAGAGAAAGCAAAAATGAGTTAGGGGAAGAATGGGAGGCCAGGGGCTAGGAAAGGAATAATGGGGGAGGGGAAGAAATCAAAGAAAAAGATGAATGAGAAAGGGAAAGAGAAGAGACAGAGGAGAGAAAAAGGGAAGGAGGCAAGAAGGGGGAAGAGAAGGAAAAGAGAAAGGGCTAGGGAAGGAGAAATGTAGAAAAAAGGAAGGGAAGGAGAGGAGAAGAAGAAGAGAAAGGGAAGGAAATGGGAAGGAGAAGAAAGAGAAGGAAGATGGATGGATGGGTGTAACAGAGGGAAGCGAGGCACAGGAGTCTCAAGGACACCAGCCGCCACCTAGGGGAGAAATAAGACAGAGGGAGAGAAAAGAAAAAGAGCTGGGAGCCGGGTGGTAGCGCACACCTTTAATCCCAGCACTCGGGAGGCAAAGGCAGGCAGATCTCTGTAAGTTCGAGACCAACTCGAAGTGTTGGAGCAAGTGTCAGGATAGGCTCCAAAGCAACACAGAGAAACCCTGTCTCAAAACACCCCCCCCCCGCCGCCCAGAAAAAAAGAAAGGGGGGGAAGGAAAGGAAAGGAAAGGAAAGGAAAGGAAAGGAAAGGAAAGGAAAGGAAAGGAGCTAGGGTTCTTGTGAGAGGACAGCACCTTCAGCAAAATCCTCTAGTGTCTTGGTCTCTGAATAGGAAATGTCAGTGAGGTCTACAGCACTTTTACTGCATCTCAACACCAGGATTGCTGTCCAACCATAGTTACTTCATATTGTTCAAATATAAACCCAAGCAAAAACAACTCTCTCATCAGGAAGGGTTCACACAAAACAAATAAAAATGGAGAAAAATAAAAAATAGAGGACACAGCCACTCCCAAAAGCACTCAAAACCCAACAAATACACACAGAGAAAGAGAGGGAGAGAAAGAAAAAAGAAAGAAGGGAGGGAGAGAGAGAGAAAGGAAGGAAGGACGGAAGGAAGGAAGGAAGGAAGGAAAGAAGGAAGGAAGGAAGGAAGGAAGGAAGAAAGAAAGGCACTACAACACTTCTACAAGTTCTTAACTCAGAACTGAAACCAAAGATAGACAGATGAAATGCCAAAAGAGGAGTTCAGGGTGGGACTGGAGAGATGTCTCAGTTGTTAAGAGTACATACAGCCAGGGCTGGAGAGATGGCTCAGAGGTTAGGAGCACTGCCTGCCATGAGGTACTGAGTTCAATTCCCAGCAACCAGATGGTGGCTCACAACCATCTGTAATGAGATCAGGTGCCCCATTCTGGCTTGCATGGATACATGCAGGAAGAACACTGTATTCATAATAAATAAATAAATAAATCTAAAAAAAGAAAAGAGTGCATACAGCCCTTCAAAAAGACCTGAGTTCTTTTGTCAGCATGTATCCAGGTGGATCACAGCTGCCTGTACTCCACCACCAGGACTAACTGATGCCTCTGGGCACCCGCACATGTGTGCACATGCCCTCCCGCAGACACACATACATACATGTAATCTAAGATAGATATTTTAAAAAGAGCTCAGGGTCCTACTTTAAAAGGATCAATGGCTACATAGGACTCAAATAATAATAAGAAGAAAATGAATTCATGGTCTGGGTAGGCAAGTAAGGTAGATAAAAGGGGCCATTAACTCAAAACCAAGGAGGAAAAATCAGCAAGGAAACTAGATTCTGAAAGAGAACCAACTTAAAATTGCTGGAAATAAGAGTCTATCAGCCAAACAGAAACCACAGCAGGAAGCATCATCAACAGATAAAGACAGAAGAACTATTATTGGTGCAGAGGGACAAGCTTAAGGTG